ATAGAGAGGGAACACAAGCAGGGGGAGTGGGGGAGGGAGAAGCAGGTCCCCCGCCCCGAGCAGGGAGCCCAATATGGGGCTCAATCCCAGGACCCTGGGACCATGACCTGAGCTGAAGGCAGACGCTTAACGACCAAGCCACCCAGGCGCCCCCAAAGCTATAAATGTTTTTTGATTCATTTCTGATTGTCATGCTACAGAGTGCTTCACTCAAGATTATGTGAATATTTACTCATTTTAGGATTTTAATGGAAGTTAAAATTTTTTACTTAAATTCTTAATTTATTGGTGATATATTTTCATAAGATATGTCCTAACCATTCTAACCCCCTTTCTAAGATCACTCTTTCTTGTCCAATGTATGTCACCTTTCTTTCCTTAATTTATATGTATGTCCTTGATCCTACAACACTTAATAATTATTATGATTTTGTAAAGTAATTCATTTTTTCATTTAGCAGGATCTTCCTCATTGTACTTCCCTCTAAAGTTCCTTGGATATTCTAGAATCCTTCTTTCCCCTAAAATTCTCAGAGCCCACTCCATTGAGATGTAGAAATGTGAATTTGTGGCTTACTCCAAGCAGACTGGACCTCTTCAAGATATCAGCCTCCCCCTTTCCCTGAGCAGAATAGATACTTCTTTCCACTTGGCCAAATCTTTGCTCACTTCCCCAGAGTAGCATCTTCCAATAATGCAGAGTTATTTTGATAGCCTCTTTCCGCTTCCTGCCAGCTTACCTAATTGGGCACCATTTTCACCAGGCACTTAGCAAGATAGGGAAGAGACCATCCCTTGGATCCCTGAATATGTGATTTTTAGAAGTGTTCTCTCCTTTGGGATAGACATGGATTTAGTACGACTGACTTTTCCTGCCTGGGTTCCAGCTGTTTGGGACCTGGAAAAGACCCCTTATTTGGGAGGATTCTAGATGAAGAAGAGTGGGGGCATATGTTGTTAGCAATCTTAGTCTGTATCCAGGCTCAGGGCACTTGGAGTGCTCCTCTCCAGCCCCTGTCCATCAGAATGGGCCAGCTCTTCCCTGGGTCACTGTCCTTCCAAGCCTTTTCAGGAGTCTGGACTCATCACTGTTTGTTTCCTGCCAAGTCACATTCAGAAGAGTGCGAGATCCAGTTACCATCAGCTCAGCTGCTTTATCTCTGTTCAGAAGACAAGCTTAATAAATCACAGCATTCTTCTGGCTAGTTCTTGCTGACCATTACAAACCTATCTTTGATGAAATGAAAGTATATTCAATATATTCAGTATTTGTATTCTAAACGTATCTAGTATGAATCTTATCCTTCTTTTTCCAAGGGGAGAAAAACATAACAATATTCTTTAGGAAAATTCTCATGCACAGGCCGGTAGAGGCTTCATCTTTCCCTCCCATTTCAAGGTTAGATAACCTCAAACAACCTAAGACATTTGAATTTCAGTCAGTCAAGCTTCATCCGTGTGTTCTTTTTAAATGTAGATTCTACATATTCCTGTTAACTCTATTTTAAAATAGTTTGTGTTTTCTCAGTCTTCTTGGGATTGTTTATTACATTTCTAACCAGTTGTCCATATTTTCTCTTATACTTTCCACAAGAAAAGTACAGAAGATTACATGGGAAGCTTTTTTAAATTTATAGGCTTGTGGTCCTTTCCTCAGTGATTCAGCTAAGTCTGGGAATGGGGACAAGGGGAGCCCGTCGTCCAGTGTGTTTGTGTGACTCATCGGAAGCCTCCCATCCCCACTTCATTTGAAATTCTCTGGATGACAGTTTCCACATACTGGTAGGCAGCTGCAGGGTACATCCTTCTCTTATCTGACTTAATGCCTCACTTTAAACTCAGTGCCTCGGTTTCCCTTTTCAGGATGTGTGCCCTGAAGAGCTAACTTAGCAAGTGTGGGGTGTTCAAGCCCTACATGCTACAAAGAGACTGGCCCTTGACCGTCTTCTGGGAGATAATTTCTGAGCCTCTATACTATCCTGCCTGATAAGAGAGTCTGTATACAGGGGGCCTTGAGCCGTGCCAGATACTTTATGCTAACAATGTGAATTTTGGTGGGGGCCTTGGGCTATAGCTTATCAGCTTGACCTCTGGAGGGGCTGGAGACTGAGCAACTAAGGTTAGCTTGCAGACACATGGCCATGACCGTGTGACTGACCCCTAATGCCACTCTTGACACCAGTGCTCCAGGGAGCTTCCCTGGCTGGCAGCACATCCCGTGTGCTGTCCACAGTGTTCCTTGGAGGCTGAGCTCTGTCCACCCACCTCCACTGGGCAAGGACAGCTGGCTGCTTGCTCCTGGTCCCGCCTGGACTCTGCCCCATGCGCCTTTCATCTACGCCAGTTTTCACTGTAACACACCATAATTGTTAGCGTAACACCTTTTCTGAGTCTTTCTAGCAAACCATTAAACCTGAAGGTCGTCTTGGGTGCCCTCAACTTAGGATGAAAGAGCTTTTGATTTTACAAGACTCCTCGAGAAAGGAATAATGATTTCTCTCTAATATGCTGAGTTCCTTTTTTAAAAAGAGTTCATTATATGTTAAAAAAAAAAAAAGATAGTAGGAAGGGAAAAATGAAGGGGGGGGAAATTGGAGGGGGAGATGAACCATGAGAGACTGTGGACTCTGAGAAACAAACCGAGGGTTCTAGAGGGGAGGGGGGTGGGGGATGGGTTAGCCTGATGGGTATTAAAGAGGGCACGTATTGAATGGAGCACTGGGTGTTATACGCAAACAGTGAATCATAGAACACTACATCAAAAACTAATGATGTAATGTATGGTGATTAACATAACATAATAAAATAAAATTAAAAAAAGCTCAAACTGGATGTTAAATTTTATGAATACATTTTTATCACCTCTAAAGGTGTTTCCTTGAGTTTTGTTTTATTCAGATGATAAAACATATTGTTTTCCTAAATTTGATTTTTTCATTCCTGAAATTACTGATGCTTAGGTTGTGCTGTATTTTTTTGTAACATACCATTCTCTTTGATTTATTAACATTTATGATTTTATTATGAATGATTGGCATTTTGACTTTTGTCTTTGTCATACCTGGGCAAAACTTTTAATTGCTATAATTTAAAAATATTTTATAAAAAAACGTTTCTAAAATATGGTACTTCCTGCCTCCTTGAACAGAGCACTTTACCCAATTTAACATTTTCTTAGCACTTTACCCAATTTAACATTTTCTTGACTCACTACCCCCATTTTGAGCAATATGGTGTGTAATTGGGCCCTCTGGTCCCATTGAGGTATGAGCAGCTGCTGCTTCTACGTTAAATGCTCCCCAGACTTCTCTTTGTTTGGAGTTCTTGGGTTTGCTTTTTTTTTTTTTTTCCTATGCCTTCAAGTCCCACTTCTTTCTGTAATAGTCCCTCTCTTCCCTTTACTTGGCTCCTTTTTAATGGCTGTGGGATTAGAGGCTGCATAATTAAGCTTGTTATATAATGATTTCCAAAATGAGAGTAAATAGGCTCTGAGTAAGAGCCTGGGGCCCTGTTCTCCAGATGAAAAGCATCCGCTTCATGTCATGGATTTTTAAATACACATTCTGGGTTTGGGGAGATAGTTTACTCCCTTTTTAGTTGTTGGTTGTTCCAGAGAGTAGAGTCATAAAGTTAATTGGTTTGTTTGTTCATCTGTTCATATGTTGTCCATCCATTTCTCCAACTGTCTGTCCATCCCTTCACCTGACACTTATTTCTTGAACTCCTCCACGGTGCTGTAGACCAGATAGCTGAACTTGAGTAGGTAAGACGCGGTCTGCAAATCAGCATCTGCCTCACAAATAACATGGGGGCGCAGTCTGAACTGTGTTGTGGAAACTTTCAGTTAATAAAGAACTTTTATTCATTGGGGCACCTGGGTGGCTCAGTCGTTGGGCGTCTGCCTTCGGCTCGGGTCATGATCCCAGAGTCCTGGGATCGAGCCCCTCATCAGGCTCCCTGCTCCGCGGGGGGCCTGCTTCTTCCTCTCCCCCCGCCCCCTCGCTTATGTTCCCTCTGTCGCTATGTCTCTCTCTGTCAAAAAAATAAATAAAATCTTAAAAAAAAAAACTTTTATTCATTTATTTTTTAGTTTTATTCTCTCTGGTAGTAATTTTCATGTCAGATTTTAAAGTTTTCATAAGAAGAATACTGTGCAGAAAAGAGCTAACATAGCAGGTCTGCGACTGTTCCCCTTAGAAAAGCCGGCGGCTTGCGGGGTGATAGGCCAGCCCTCGGCAGGCTGGCGTCTTAGAAATTGACGCTCAGAATGTTTCCAGTCACCATTTAACTGCTGGGGGTAGTTCACGCTGCCTGGCCTATTGTGCAGACAGCAGGGTTTACGCTGAATGTCTGCTTTCCTCCTGGGAGGAAAAGCAACTCCCCTCCTGGGAGGGGTTTTGATTCTTGTTAGAGGTTGCTGATGTGTCCAGCCCCCAATAAAAACCTTGGTCACTTGAGTCTCTTAGGGGCAGAAACATCCCACGCATGTGTTGCATTTTTGTTGCTGGGGGAAAGATTGTTCTCTGTCTGACCTCTCATGGGAGGAGGAGAGCATCAGGATGTGCACAGAATCCTCCAGTCTCCACCTGTGTCCTCCCTTAGGATTCATCTGTATGTTCCAGCCATGTAGCTCTACTGAGTATCTATCACGAGCACATCTCTGAACTTGAGGGTGCTCTTGGGGACCCTGCCACAAATGCCTAATTTTTATTGGTCTCTTACTATGCATGTAGCCCAGTACTAATCCTTTTACTGGATTGTCTCATTGAATCTTCCCCTAAACAGACCTCTTTGAGGCAGGTCAGTGTCCTCGTCCCCCGTTGCCAAGTGAAGTTCTTGGAAGTTCCATGAGGTTAAATGTCCTGTGCAGGTCCTATAGCTCATACGTCTAGTTTGGTGTCTTTATGTTTGCGCCTTATGGTGTATTGCTTCTGTCGTTCAGAGGAGAGGTTAAGTGAAGAAAACCACTGAGTCCTTTTTTAATCACTTTATCATTGCAGGTATGAGCACATCCTCACAGAGCCGGACCCAGTCCCAGCATATGCTCTGAAACTGCTAGTTGCCATGACGGAACACAACCCGGCTTTCACCAGGTACTATAACTCCAGCTTTATTTTTCTTGTTTTTCATCTATAAAATGAATTTCATATGTTCTAAAAGTGTTAAAGATGATGAGATTCTGAAAGATTAACAATTGAGTTACCGAAGTGGCCCTTTCTCAAGTTTGAGGGTTTGTGGTATCTCACGTTTATGAGGTTTTGGGTCTCATTCTCATATTTTTATCCCTTATTGGATTTGCATACTCTGGAATTCATGTTGCTTTAAAATTATAAATTCTTGGGGCACCTGGGTGGCCTTCAGCTCAGGTCATGATTGCAGGGTCCTGGGATCGAGTCCTGCATCGGGCTTCCTGCTCGGTGGGGAGCCTGCTTCTCCCTCTGCCTGCCGCTCCCCCTGCTTGTGCCCCCCCCATCAAATAAATAAATAAAATCTTTAAAAAAATTATAAATTCTTTAAAGAGAAAAAATAACACACATACTTTAAAAAATGTCAATTGGTGCTTCCTGTTGTACTGAGCAGTTGTTTATTAAATCTGTCTAGTATTTATAGACTCTTATCTTCTACCATTTTGTTAAATTGACATACTTTTATTCAGCAAGGGAGAGCTTTTGCCTCTGTGGAAGGTACTACGTGTGATGATGCCAAATATTTTAGAGCTAGTTTCTAGGAGACTGGCACCTGCTTTCAGTCTGGCACAGGAGAGTTTGTCGGAGAGAGCCCAGCTCCATAGAAGGGGCAGAGAAGGGGAGGCCCTCCTTGCTCTCAGTCAAGACAGCTAGTTGTAGTTGTTAGGTGATGGCCGAGGACCTCTGGCTTGGGACACCTCTACCGTTGGTCTTTAGGAAAGAAGAAAGTCACACAGCCCCAACCACCTTGTTTTCATCTGCTCCGTTGTTCTGCCACAGAAGGTACTGCATAGTGATGAGCCACCATCAGTGTTAGGAGTGAACAGGAAGGTCTGTTTGTAGACTTTCCATATTGGGTGAAAGGCTGAACTGCAACCTTTCTGGTGGCTGGGCCAGGGCCGGAGGTGTGCCATGACTGAGTCCCTGGGGTGCCAAGGTGCTGTCAGGCTTTGGTTCATCTGCAAGGCTGAGGCTGAATGTAGATTTCAGGCCCGTTTCCTTCTGCTGTGAGCGGCCTCATTCATTTCCAGAGAGTGACATATAAGTACTACTTTGTACTCTCAATGTCATGTTGCAAAAGAATTTGGGGAGCATGTACCCTTGCCAATCCTAAATCCTGTGTCTCTATAGCCTTTTAAAAGTCTGTAATGAGACTTCCAAAATTATCACTCAAAGGTACTTTTCTCTATTCCTACAGAAGAAATTTCATTATAAAGAGTATCTGTATTAGAAGTCAAATATAAATTTCATATAGTTACTTCTTTCCTGGAGTTTTAATACCAGGTATTATATATATTATATATATATATATATAATATATAATACTGTATACTAATTGTATCCTTTCATTAGATGGGGCAGGTTGTGTTTACTTTTTTAATGTTGACTCTTGCTCACTCATGTGGCATGCTTTCTAAGCTCCTTCCTCTTTTTGCCAACTCTCTACGAAATTCATCTGAATTTCCTCACCTTGCGGGGAAGAACCTAGTGAAGTTCGTGACTTATATATAATCTTTTTATTTTAAAAATGAGTAAGCTTGGAAGACACTTTATTCTTTTTTTTTTTTTTTACCTTTACAAGCAGAATTCAATGAACAAATTTTTAAAAGATTTATTTTTTCATGAGAGACAGAGAGAGAGAGGCAGAGGGAGAGGGAGAAGAAGGCTCCCCACAGAGCAGGGAGCCCAGGATCTCAGGATCATGACCTGTGCTGAAGGCAGATGCTTAACCGACTGAGCCACCCAGGTGTCCCCTCAATGAGCTAATTTTGATAAATGTTTTTCTTCGCTTTGACAAGTAACATCTGAATATATTGTATGTGTATTACAATCCAGCAGTAAAATCAAGAGGTCCCCTCAGCTTCCTTGTTTCCCTCCCACACTGCCATACACAGGTCTCTCTCCCAGGGATAATAGTTGTGGTTTTGGTGTGTGTCTGTCCTGAATCTTTTCTGGCTGTTAAAAGTCAGTATGCGTATCAGAAATAAATGGCATTGCTTTCTGGTTGTCGATTTAAAAAAAAAAATCATAGATAGTACCCAATAACATAGATGTATGTATTTTTCTGAAATTTGCCTTTTTATTTATCAAAATTATTGGGAGATTTTTTATATCAGTATTTATTCATACTCTTGGTGATATCTTTGCTAATGGATGGAAATGAGATTTCATTTTGCATTTACTTACCTACTGATAATGTTGAACCTCTTAATGTTTATTTACTATATTTAATTATAACAGGTACATAGCCTTCAGTTTCAGTTCTACTTTGAAATATCTCCTGTAGAGAAAAACTCCTATATATACAAAGATTTCCACTCAGGCAAATAATTTTTAAAATGAGAAAAATAATTTTTAAATTATAATATAGCCATAATATATAATACCGTGTAACAGATTAAATGGGCAAGATAAATTTGAATACAAAGATATCCAAATAATTTTGTTACCTGAAACTACTTACGACCCTCCCATTTAAATACCACCTTTGCTGTATATAAGGTCTCTTTCTGGATTCACTCTTCTGTTTGTTTGCTTTTCTTTCTTTCCTTTTTATTAAATTTATTTGAGAGAGTATGCGTGCAAGAGAGCACAAGCAGGGTGAGGGGCAGAGGGAGAGGGAGAAGTAGGCTATCTGCTGAACAGGGAGCCAGATGCAGGACTTGATCCCAGGACCTTGGGATCATGACCTGAGCCGAAGGCAGACGCTTAACTGACTGAGCCACCCAGATACCCTGTTTGTTTGCTTTTCTAATGGAAAAGGCAAACAGTTTTGACTGAGGCTCCATAGGTGAAGGGCAAAGCATTAAAAGCCTATATGCTATCCACCCCACCTTCTCCCCACCCCACACCTTGAAAGGGAGGTCCTAGGCCCACAGGCTGTAGCTCAACCTGTGTGCAACTTGCAAAGTCTATTCACACACCTTGACAGGAGGGATGGGGAAGGGAAAGTAATTAGACTTTGGAGTTTGTTTTTATTTTCCTAACTGGAGTTTTAAAAAAGTGTAACATTTTGGAATTGGCAATAGATTTCCATTGGGGGGGAAATATATATATATGGACAGATAGATATAGAGATATAAAGATACATATACATATATATAGAGACAGATATGAAGATTTGTATATAATATAGATCAAAAGATAGATGCTGAGAAGTCTTGTTCCTTTCTCTGTCCATTCTGTTCTTCCTTCAGCTTCCCATTATCACAAATGGCTAACCACTTTTGTTTATGTTGTGTTCTAAGGCAAGCTAATGTGAACATGTATTTTCTCGTTTCTCCCTTTTACACACAAGTAGCATATTATGTTTCTCTCCCCCTTGATTTTTTTTTTTTTGCATTTGACAGTATCCCCAACATTTGTTTCTGTAGCAATATATAGAGAGCTTTCCTGTTAGGTTTTATAGTTACAGAATCTTCCATTGTATGGATGATATATCATAGTTTATCTAATTAGTGTCCAGTGGATAAACTTGAGTTCTCATCTTGCAATATTGCAATGAATACTCTTCTATATCATCTTGTACATCTTATGGGTTACATTCCTAAAGTTGGCATTAAGGTATCAAAGGATAAATGCATTTGAAAAACCTTTTTAAAGGAATGGCCAAATTGTCCTTCATCGGGATTTTACCATTTTCCATCTCCAAGGGACATGTTTGAGGATGCCTGTTTCCTTGCACCTTTGCAATCAGAATGTGTCATTAAACTGGAATTTTTCCAGCGTGATGAGACAGGTTATTTCAGAGTAGTTTTAATTCACATTTCTCTCACCATGAGTGTGGTTGAATATCTCTTTCTATTGTTGGGGCATTTGTATTTTTTGCTCATGCTCTTTGCCAGCAGTTTCTTTGTCTTGGCAATGCCTCGCCTCAAACTGAATCACCTCCTGCCTGGCTTTCCATTGCACCCATACACCGGAGTCTGCTAATCCATTTTACTTTGAACAACTTTCCAATTTTTTGCTGTCTTGGATAGTTTGGCCAATGAGTTTTCCTTTGCATGTTCCTTGGTGAATCTATGCACATGTCTCCATTGGGCACCCATGCTGGAGTGGGAGTACGAGCTCACAGAGCTGGTGCTTCCCCAGATTGAGTAGATACTGCCGAGTTGTTTTCCAGATCCATTGTACCAATTTGCATTCCTGCTGCCATTGTTTGGTTGTCATATAAGCTTTAAAAAAATTTATTTTAAGTCTGGTTTATTGAGGGACAATTTACATAGACTACAATCACTTATTTTGGCTATACAGTTTTCTGAGTTTTGAGAAACATGTACAATTGCGCACCACCACCTCTATCAAGATAGAATATTTCCGGGCGCCTGGGTGGCTCAGTCGGTTAAGCGACTGCCTTTGGCTCAGGTCATGATCCTGGAGTCCCGGGATCGAGTCCCACGTCGGGCTCCCTGCTCAGCGGGGAGTCTGCTTCTCCCTCTGACCCTTTTCCCTCTCACTCTCTATCTCTCATTCTCTCTCTCTCAAATAAATAAATAAAATCTTAAAAAAGAATATTTCCATCACTCCAAAATGTTCTCTCCTGCCCCTTTGAATATTAGCTTATACAGACTGTTTGCTTGGAGAATAATATGACCAGATTGATTTTATATTTCATTTTAATTTTTAAAATTTATTTTTTAAGGGGTGCCTGGGTGGCTCAGTTGGTTAAGCATCTGACTCTTGGTTTCAGCTCGGGTCATGATCTCAGGGTTGTGAGATCGAGCCCCCCATCCCTCCTCTATCGGGCTCCTTGCTGGGTATGGAGCCTGCTTAAGATTCTCTCTCTCCTTCTGCCCCTCCCCCCACTTGCACGTGCGCATGCACAAGTGCTCTCTCTTCCTCATATAAATAAATCTTTTTAAAAAAGAGAAAAAGATGATTTTTTAGGAGTTAATATACAACACATTACAAATTTCAGTATTTGAAAGAGTATACAGGGAAAAGCATATTTTTACCCAAGGAGAAAGCCATTCTTCTCAGTGTGTGTGTGTGTGTATGTGTGTGTGTGTGTGTGTGTGTGTGTTGTTTTTCATATAGATGGTAGTATGCTATATGCACCATTCTGTACTTCTTTTTAAAAATACATACAACAGCTTTATTGCATATAATTCACATACCATCTGTACTTCTTTTTAACAGATGCATAGGCATTGCATTTTATGAATGCTCCATATTTATTTAATAAGTTCCCTTTTGATGAACATTTAATTTATGTTTTTCTAAACTTTTGGTATTATAAAACAAAGCTACAATTAATGACATAGGCCATTCATCCCATGTGTGAATACATATGTGTGGGATGAGTAATGAAAAGTGAAATTACTTCATCAAAGGGTACATAAGCCAGTGATTCCCAAACTTATCTGTACATTAGTGTCATCTGGGGAATCTTTTAAAAAGTCTGAAGATTGGCCACACCCCAGCCCAACTAAATAAAAATCTCCAGGCACCAGTAATTGATGACTCTCGCCACGTGATTACAATGTGCAGGTGAGCTTGGGAAGGACTGGTCTAAGCATTTGTATTTTGACAAATATTTCCCAGTTGCCCCCCATCTACGTTGTGCAGTTTATTCTCCACCAGCAGTGTATGAGAGTGCCTCTGTGTGTCAGACCTTTACCACATTAGTGTGTGTATATGCGTTTGACCTTTGCTATTGTGATAGGTGAATATTCCCTCTTTGTTACTAATTTCTAGTTTTCTTGCTTTGTGATCAGATCGTATTTTTGTTTTTGCTAATTTTTATTGGATTTTATTTGTGGTATGATAGGTCAGTTTTTGTGAATGTCTTATGTTTAGTTGCTTACTGTAACTAAAGCAAAGTTAGGTCTAACCCTGAAAAGAGTGTTATCCATTCCTAACTTTGGCCCATGTCTTAAAATGGTAACTCATTAACCTAGGAGATTGTCCCCAGTCACTTGGTAGCAGTGACTTTTAGGCAAAATGCCTAAAGTGTATATCAAGGATAGAATGCCTTAACTTTTATGTACAGATAGATTTCTAGTAATATAAAATAAACATGAACGATTTATTATAAATTTAGCTTATTTATTGGCTCCATCTGCATCATGTTCTTTGAAGTATAGTCATTTTATCTTGTATATATAATTGACTCTTGAACAATGCAGGGGTTAGAGGCATGGTCAGAACTCCCCCACAACTTAAGTACTAGTAGCCTAGTATTAACTGGAGGCTTTACTGATAACATAAACAGCCAATCAACACATATTTTATATGTTATATGTATTACATACATACATAAAGTAAGCTAGAGAAAAGAAAATGTTATTAAGAAAATCATAAGGAGAAGAGATGACATTTATAATACTGTGCTGTATTTATTAAAAAAAAAACCCTATGTATAAGCGGACCCATGCAGTTTAAACCAGTACTATTCAAGGGTCAACTGCATTTAGAGTTTAAAGTACCAAATAATAACCACTAGGATATTAAATCATCCTATGCCAAGTGCAACATTATTTCATTGTGTTTATTCTTATTTTAGAGGATTCTTAGTGGATAAAGAAATCTTCAAAAGCTTAGTCAGAGTACAACTATGAATTTATTATTCCTTCAAATAAGAGACAAGAGCATGATCAAATCTGCATTGTATCTGACTGGGATTTTTTTTTTTTTTTTTTTAAAAACACCACTGCCCTGGTAAATCTAGTTTCTGACTGGGTTTATAGCAGAAAGGTAAATTGTTTACCATGTTGGTCCAACATTACTATCAGAAGGGATGTGTTAACTCCTCTGAGCTCTGCCCTTTTCTCTCTCCTTAATTTTACAGTAGGTTGCACTGAACCATTGTTCTCAGGGAGAGCAATACCCCAGGAGCTCGTTTCCATTAAGAGCTAATCAGCTTTTAGCAAATCTTCCTTAGCAAACAAATTGAATTTTAACTTCTTGAGTTCTTTTGGAGCAAAATTTACCTCTTACCCTGAATTGCAAAAGGTTGTCTATGCTCTGTATCTAAGGATTATTATTTTAGTTTGCTCAAAAAATGTTAGAGCTGTTTGTTTTATGGCAAGATTCACAGAAATGCCTTTTGAAGAATAAAATTTTAGTGATCTCTTAAATGAAATTCATGGTGAATCCATGGTATAGCCTTCAGTGAAAAATACTTCTGCCTTTACAGTCAGCAGGCTTCAGCTGACTTCCTTCATTGGTTTTTGGTTCATTCGTTCGTTCATTCATTCAACTAATCAGCAAGTACTGAATGATACAAGGATAAGAAACAGTTAAAGTTCTCCCCCTCAAAGTGCTAAGGACTTAGTGGAGGAGATATTTATCAATAGGTTCCTATAAAACAGTGTAATAATTTCAAAGGTACAGTCATGTCTAGAAGGTTATGGGAGCAACTAAAGGAATTTAACCCAAGTAGTTGTATGATGTTGGCCAAGTTTTTTTTTTTAACTTGTTTGTACCTAAGTTCCCTCATCTGGAAAATGGGGGTAATATTAGCAACTGGTCTACAGAAAATGCTGTGTAAATGTTCCCCTTCTTCCTCCCGCCCCTTCTCCTTACTTCTCCTTTTCGCATGATTAGAGGAAGGATTAGCAAAGGAAGTATTCCTAGAAGAGGTATCCCCTTTGACAGTAGAAAGAAATGTTTGGTGACACCGATTGAAACCAGAGCTCCAACACCCTACAAGGAATTGGAAGGAAAAAAAAAACAGTTTTTCAATAACAGAAGCAAACTGCATGGGGCTCTCTCACTAGTTCGACTGCATAACAGAACAGTGGGAGCCATAGACAGCATCCCCCCCACCCTCGCACAAGACGCCTGCCATAGGCATTTGCCTTTTAATTTATGTTCCTTTTTTTTTTTTAAGATTTTATTTATTTGACAGAGAGAGACACAGTGAGAGAGGGAACACAAGCAGACAGGGTGGGAGAAGGAGAAGCAGGCTTCCCGCGGAGCAGGGAGCCCGATGCGGGGCTCGATCCCAGGACCCCGGGATCATGACCCGAGCTGAAGGCAGACGCTTAATGACTGAGCCACCCAGGCGCCCCGCCTTTTAATTTATATTCTTAATAACATTGTTTTTGCCATATTCTGATATATTTTAATTTAAATTTTGTAGCCTGATGAAGCTAAAAGCCCAAATTATCAGAAATGTCAGAGATGTTTGAGAGGTTTCCCTGTCATTAAAATAAGCCAGTTAGGTGTTTTTGCCCCCTCAGTTAGCCGAATTTACCCAGTTAAATATTTCCTCTGATGAAATCTGTGATTGAAATAACTATGTAATACAGTAACGCTTTATTGTTACAATTAGAATGAATTGATTTCTCCAGAAATGATTTGCTGCTTCTCAGGTTGTCTGTGGCTATCAAAAAGCCTCATCATGAGAAGCAAGTCAGTCTCTGAGTCTCTGCAGCTCCCATATCCATTCTAGGGTCACTCTTTTGTGGCTACCCTATTTATTCTTTACGAGCACTCGCAGAATAAAACACAAGGTTTTTCCAATAGGCGCCGAGCCTTTGAGCATCTATTTTTATGTTCTCTTTCCTCTCTCGTGGACATAGCCTGTGTTCCGGTGTTCCTAGCCACTTGTTCAAATTGGGTACATATCTACACTTCTTACTAAAGTACAGTCATTTCAGGGGATAAAGCAAGCATAAAAGATTGAAAATACTGAGCCATTTTGGGTTTGCGCCTTTCATCAGTTCCTTGAACCGAAAACTTTATTTTTTTTTGTTTTCCTTTCTGTTTGCCTTGATTTGGGATTATAGTGCTGCACCCTTGTTCAACACGTATATTGGCACTTAAATATTAGTTGAGCAGAATTTGGAAATTAAATTAAAATTGCCCTAATGATCAACTTTGCTGGGGTATTTTGTGTACTTCCACTGAGATTATCCTTTAAGCAGTTAGAAGCGTTGTTTTGCTCTTGGAAAGTTCAGCATTTTATTTCTTTTTCCAGGAAAGTTCTTTTTCTTCAACTGCTAGTGGTGATTAATTGTCTTTGAAAACTGTTAGTAGAACAGCACCTTTGCAATCGAAAGCTATTTCTAGGTCAGAGTGGATGGTTTCAGTTGACTTTTTTGCTGTGACATTTACATTTAAGGAACGCACTTAGAGTTTATTGTACACCTTTGCAAATAGTGCTTTCCCAGTTGTGTATTGCAGAGCCATGTTCAATCTGAGTGGGGAGTCAATAAAGCTTCTTGTGTTTCACAAGATGTCCTTAGGTCTGTTGACTTACCCTTGTCATCTAAAGAGATTGGCAAACTGTGGTCCACAGAGCCAACTGGCTTGCAGCCTGTCTTTCCGTGGTCTGCAAGGTAAGAGTGGTATTGACATTTTTAAAGAGTTGTAAAATTTACAAACACACAGATGCATCTGAGACAGAGACCTTGTGTCCAGCAAAGCCTGAAATATTTACTTTCTAGCCCTTTTCACACAGTGTTTCCTGATCCCTGATCTAAAGGAATAGAACTTTTTTTTTTGCCTTTATTCATGAGAATGTAGAAATACTAAAATTTTAGAACTCTTAGGGAACTTTGGAGATTATCTGGGTGTTTTAAAATGTAGGTTTTTTGCTGTTGGTGTGGTGAGGTCAACAGATCAGGTGAAAACTGTCCTGGAAAAGATAGCGTGTTATACTCACAGATCCAAAAAGGAGGGGGTATACCATGCCAAAGGCAGCCACATGAAGAAGCAACAGGGTCAGTCAAGAGGCAGAGGAAGTGAGAGGCAAATGTGGACCAGAGCCCTCACTGTAGTTTACAAAGGAAGGAATGGGTGAACAGGTTTAGGCTTGACTAGTTTGAATAAGTTCCCTGGGCTGTGGGAGTATAGCGGCTATCTCCAGTCATCTGGTACCTGGCCCTGGGGTGAATAGGGGTCAGCTGTGGTCCAGTACCTGGCCCTGGGGTGTCGGCCTGGCCTGGAGTGGAAGAGTGCCATAAAGGAGGCGGTTGGGGTTATGGCTCTGGATTGGTTGGTTTGCACAGGAAAGGCAAGCTCAAAGGAGAGTTGTTTGCTCTTTCTGAGAATCAGTTGGCCCTGGGAGGGGCATTCCCTCCAGAGTTAGCAAGGCCTCAAGATGTTAAAGAAACAAAAATATAGAATAAAAATACATGATTAGTACACTGGGCTAATGTCTTCATTTTATACATAAGGAAAATGAGGTCCCAGAGGCAATTGGTGTGCCCCAAACCCCAAGTCAATTTGAAGAAGATCAGATTTTGGATCAGACTTCCTGGTCCATTGTTCTTTGAACTACCCAGCAGAGCCACTTTTAAAAACAAACCCAAGTGGATATCACAGTGGACTTCGGAGTCCTCTTGTTTTAAGTTTCATTGCCTCACATTTACTTAGAAAACTGGTCCAGTTCCTCAACACAGTCATCTTCACTGTCATGTGGATCTGTTAAGAGCAAATGCGTGATTCTCCTTTGTGTCCCTCTGCCATCATCACTAGGTTCTGGCACCATCCTTCTTTGATTTTTATCACTGTGGCAGTTCTTGGCACAAATGTGGTTAATAATATGATCCTGGTTCCCGGTTCAATGGAACCTCTTCCTTCCCTCATCCTTCTAGGTTTGGGACCTTCCTGTGCTGATGACTTAAGAAACACCACCTGGGTTGAAATCCCTCGTCATTACATTAATCATGCTATAATTCATCGCAGTATTTCCTATAGCAACAAATGTAAGTGTTTATGTAAGCACTCACGGAGTAAGTATTCAATTAATTCTCTCCTTCCACCCCAGCATTCTGTTTCTGATGGAATTATGGAGGGACACCAACCTAAAACCTTAGGAACTGATCCAAGGCATTCTCTTTTCCCGAACGATGTGTGAGGAAAATCAACAGTAATTGAAATCTGTTGCGACGTTACGTTTTCAGAAAGGAAAAACTCTTAACGTGGTTTTTGCCTGCTACTGGTGGAAGTATACACTTCTGCTTATTTTCTTCCATTATCTTGCTTACTATCATGGAGCTTTTCCCTAAGTTCATGGTGAGCTGGTGAACATTTCATTGCCTATCCTTACTGTATGGGGTTCAGTTGGGTCCATGGAGACAGTTTGGCTCTCCCGTCAGAAACAAATTAATCTTTGAATATTCTTTCTTTTTCTTTCTTTCGTTCGTTCGTTTGTTCTTTTTCTTTCTCTTTCTTTCGGTCTTTCTTTCTCTTTCTTTCTTTCTTTCTTAATAATTTTTTTATTATTTCTTTAAACTTTTTTTTTTAAAGATTTTATTTATTGATTTGAGAGAGAGAGAAACAGCATGAGAGGGGAGAAGGTCAGAGGGAGAACCAGGCTCCCCGCTGAGCCGGGAGCCTGATGTGGGACTCAATCTCAGGACTCCGGGATCATGACCTGAGCCAAAGGCAGTCACTTAACCAACTGAGCCACCCAGGTGCCCTTCTTTAAACTTTTTTATTGTTACGTTAATCACCATACATTACATCATTGGTTTTTAAAAATTTTTTATTGTTATGTTAATCACCATGCATTACATCATTAGTTTTTGATATAGTCTTCCATGATTCATTGTTTGTGCATAACACCCATTGCTCCAAGCAGAACGTGCCCTCTTTAATACCCATCACCAGGCTAACCCATCCCCCCACCCCACTCCTCTCTAGA